GGTCAAGGATGAGTTGATCAGCGAGGTGAGGTAGGGGAGAAGGTCACCGGAGATGGTCTGGAGAAGGGAGGAGGGGATGGGGTCAAGCGGGCAGGTTGTTGGGCGGCCTGCAGTCACAAGTCGCAGGATTTTATCTGGAGAGAGAGGGGAGAAAGAAGTCAAAGCATAGGGTAGGGCAGTGTGAGCAGGACCAGCAGTGTCATTAGACTTAACAAACGAGGATCGGATGTCGTCAACCTTCTTTTCAAAGTGGTTGACGAAGTCATCCACAGAGAGAGAGGAGGGGGGGGGGGGGGGGGGGGAGGATTCAGGAGGGAGGAAAATGTGGCAAAGAGCTTCCTAGGGTTAGAGGCAGATGCTTGGAATTTAGAGTGGTAGAAGGTGGCCTTAGCAGCAGAAACAGATGAAGAAAATGTAGAGAGGAGGGAGTGAAAAGCTGCCAGGTCGGCAGGGAGTTTAGTTTTCTTCCATTTCCGCTCCGCTGCCCGGAGCTCTGTTCTGTGAGCTCGCAATGAGTCATCAAGCCACGGAGCTGGAGGGGAGGACCGAGCCGGCCGGGAGGATAGGGGACACAGAGAGTCAAAGGATGCAGAAAGGGAGGAGAGGAGGGTTGAGGAGGCAGAATCAGGAGATTGGAGGGAGAAGGATTGAGCAGAGGGAAGAGATGATAGGATGGAAGAGGAGAGAGTAGTGGGAGAGAGAGAGCGAAGGTTGCGGCGGCGCATTACCATCTGTGTAGGGGCAGAGTGAGTAGTGTGGGAGGAGAGCGAGAGAGAAAAGGAAACAAAGTAGTGGTCGGAGACATGGAGGGGAGTTGCAGTGAGATTAGTAGAGGAGCAGCATCTAGTGAAGATGAGGTCAAGCGTATTGCCTGCCTTGTGAGTAGGGGGGGACGGTGAGAGGGTGAGGTCAAAAGAGGAGAGGAGTGGAAAGAAGGAGGCAGAGAGAAATGAGTCAAATGTGGACATAGGGAGGTTGAAATCCCCCAAAACTGTGAGGGGTGAGCCATCCTCAGGGAAGGAACTTATCAAGGCGTCAAGCTCATTGATGAACTCTCCAAGGGAACCTGGAGGGCGATAGATGACAAGGATATTAAGCTTAAATGGGCTAGTGACTGTGACAGCATGGAATTCAAATGAGGAGATAGACAGATGGGTTAGGGGAAAAATTGAGAATGTCCACTTGGGAGAGATGAGGATTCCTGTACCACCACCCCTCTGACCAGATGCTCTCGGGGTATGCGAGAACACATGGTCAGACGAGGAGAGAGCAGTAGGAGTAGCAGTGTTTTCAGTGGTGATCCATGTTTCCGTCAGCGCCAGGAAGTCGAGGGACTGGAGGTTGGCATAGGCTGGGATGAAGTGTTGGCTGGGATACAGTGTTGTTGAGCCATCTCCCAGTGTCTTTTGGAAAGCTAACTGAACCAGGTTTTCCTCTAGGATTTTGCCTGTGCTTGGCTGTATTCCGATTATTTTTATTCTTAACTCCCTAGTCCTTGCCCATGACAAGCATACACATGAAATGATGCAGCTACCACTATGCTTGAAAATATGAAGAGTGGTACTCAGTGATGTGTTTGTTGTGTTGGATTTGCCCCAAACATAACCCTTTGTATTCAGGACATAGCATTCAGTTCTTTGCCACATTTTTTTTGCAGTTTTACTTTAGTGCCTTATTGCAAACAGGATGCATTTTTATTCTGTACAGGCTTCCTTCTATTCACTCTGTCATTTAGGTTAGTATTGTGGAGTAACTACAGTGTTGTTGAGCCATCCTCAGTTTTCTCCTATCACAGCCATTCAACTGTAACTGTTTTAATGTCACTATTGTCATCATGGTGAAATCCCGTGAGCAGTTTCCTTCCTCTCCGTCAACTGAATTAGGAAGGACGCCTGTAAATTTGTAGTGACTGGGTGTATATATACACCATCCAAAGTGTAATTAATATCTTCACCATGGTTAAAGGGATATTCAATGTCTGCTTTTTTCTTTTTCTTTTTACTTCTTTGCGAGGCACTAGAAAACCTCCCTGGTCTTTGTGGTTGAATCTGTGTTTGAAATTCACTGCTCGACTACAGGACCTTAGAGATGGGGTAGTCATTTAAAAATCATGTGAAACACTTATTGCACACAGTGAGTCCATGCAAATTATTATGTGACTTGTTAAGCAAATTTTTACTCCTGAACTTATTTAGGCTTGCCATAAGAAAGGGGTTCAATACATATTAATTTGCCAAAATCTGTCAAAACATAATTCCACTTTGACATTATGGGGTATTTTGTGTAGGCCAGTGACACAAAATCTAAATTTAGGCTGTAACATAACATTTTGAAAAAGTCAAGGTGTGTGACTACTTTCTGAAGGCACTGTACCTCTCTTGTCTGGAGATGATTCATTGGATCAACCATCTCTGGAGCGTTTTCACTTACCAGTCTGTATGTTGATCTCAGGTCATGTACTAGGCTGTATTTTACAGCTTTGCAGTGGCATTTGAAACAAACATGAATCACTGCTGTCAATTATTCTTGGATCGTAGCATACATTTTTCACTGCTTTCATTCAGATAAGTAACTCCATTCATCTGTTGCTTTTTCGATGTAGAAGTCTATCCTGGTGGTTGGCGCCTGCCAGAATGACTCTTAGTGTAAATGGTGTGTTTTGAACATTCCAACATCACTTGACACATCTTTACTGAAAGCCATTAGTTAATTGGTTGATGTGAGGGAGGGGGAGTCGTTTCCCTAATAGGGCAGATGGAGGCGGGGCAGATTGTGGATGACTATTTATTAGGACTAGGTAGCCTTTGCTTAATTTAGCAGGCGCTAGTGTCAGTGGGTCCTAAGTGTTAGCCTTTGTTAGCATCAGCGGCTAACAGTATGTATTTTTGTCCTGTCTGTTTCTCCTCAGGCCCAGGTGAAGAGCGAGGCGCCTGTTCCCACGGCGCTGAGTGAAAGCATTCCAAAGTTCTACTTTCCAAGGGGGCGGCCCAAAGCCAACCTCAACATCGACGGCCTCATTGCCAAGATCGAGAAAATATTTTCCCAATTCCCCAATGAAAGGGCCACCATTGAGGACATGGGGCAGGTTGCCAAGGTGAGAAGGTGATTTGTAGCGCCGAGGCTCCACAGCCACCCAGCAAATTGTTTTCATTAGCGCAATTAGCCCCTGGCTTTAGCGAAGGTTTGCAGCTCAGATGTTGTTTTTCTCTCTCTTAACCCATGAAAATATTATCTCTGCCCCCCTGAGGTATGTGACCGCTGACCTGCGGGGGAACCTGAGTTGAGAAAGAAATGTCAGCCAGGTTACCTCAGGGAGGTCTTTGAGGGAAACACCACTATTACCCGTGGGAGATGGGCACTTTATTGACATTTCGATCCAAAATCGAATCCTCTTCAGGTCAAAGCCAGTCATCCCAGGCAGCCCAACTTGAATCCCTGCTGTGTCACTCACAGCCTAGGGAATCGCTGTGTCACATTTTGATGACTGGACTGGATTAAGCGTTTTAGTTGGTATCAGAGCAGAATGACTGACAGCAGTTAGGTGGATAGAGAAAATCAAACAAAAAGCACTGTAAAAAAAGAAGAAAATATTTAGCTCACCCTGATGGAGGATAATGTTGAACACTTAAGGGTGTGTAGCCGGACCATATTTAGTTTGACACACTTCTATTACGTGTGAGCTGTCAAGGATAGTTAAGTGAACTGACATATTCAACTGCACAGAAGAGGACACTTGTCTAAATCACTTCTTATTTCTCCCTCCCTCCCGCCCCTTATCTCTCTCCCCAGGCGTGCGAGTGTCCGCTCTACTGGAAAGCTCCATTGTTCAATTCGGCTGGAGGCGACAGGACGGGCTTCGTGTCCGTTCACAAGTTTGTGGCCATGTGGAGAAAGTAAGACAATGGTTCTTCTTGTACCCTGCCAGCCGCCCCATAGAGCTACTCTCACAACCCATAGTCCCATAGTCTCTTGTAAACAACTACCAATAGCCACATGTGATGGCCAAAGCTTGGGCAAAGAGTACACAGTAACTTGTCTTCCTATAATGTTTTGTCCTATTTTTTCATAGCAAATAATAAAAAAAAACAGTTGAAAAACAAACTGTAGGAGTGCCTTAGGAAAGTATTCAGACCCCTTGACTTTTTCCTCATTTTGTTAGGTTACAGCCTTATTCTAAAATTGATTAAATTGTTTTTTTCCCTCATCAATCTATACACAAAAACAGGTTTTTAGAAATGTTTGCTAATTTATTAAAAATAAAAATGGATTCAGACCCTTTACTCAGTACTTTGTTGAAGCACCTTTGGCAGAGATTACAGCCTTGAGTCTTCTTGGGTATGACGGTACAAGCTTAGCACACCTGTATTTGGGGAGTTTCTCCCATTCTTCTCTGCAGATCCTCTCAAGCTCTGTCAGGTTGGATGGGGAGCGTTGCTGCACAGCTATTTTCAGGTCTCTCCAGAGATATTAGATCGGGTTCAAGTCCGGGCTCTGGCTGGGCCACTCAAGGACATTCACAGACTTGTCCTGAAGCCAATCCTGCTTTGTCTTGGCTGTGTGCTTAGGGTCGTTGTCCTGTTGGAAGGTGAACCTTCGCCCTAGTCTGAGGTACTGAGCGCTCTGGAGTAGGATTTCATCAAGGATCTCTCTGTACTTGCTCCGTTCATCTTTGCCTTGATCCTGACTAGTATCCCAGTCTCTGCCGCTGAAAAACATCCCCACAGCATGATGCTGCCACCGTGCTTCACCGTAGGCATGGTGCCAGGTTTCCTCCAGACGTGACGCTTTGCATTCAGGCCAAAGATAATCTTGTTTCTCGTGGTCTGAGAGTATTTAGGTGCCTTTTTGCAAACTCCAAGCGAAGCGGGCTGTCATGAGCCTTTTACTGAGGAGTGGCTTCCGTCTGGCCACTCTACTATAAAGGCCTGATTGGTGGAATGCTGCAGAGCTGGTTGTCCTTCTGGAAGGTTCTGTCAGAGTGACCATCAGGTTCTTGGTCACCTCCCTGACCAAGGCCCTTCTCCCTCGATTGCTTAGTTTGGCCAGGCGGCCAGTCAGCTCTACAAAGAGTCTTGGTAGTTCCAAACTTCTTCCATTTAAGAATGATGGGGGCCACTGTGTTCTTGGGGACCTTCAATGCTGCAGAAATGTTTTGGTACCCTTCCCCAGATCTGTGCCTCGACACAATCCTGTCTCGGAGCTCTACAGACAATTCCTTCGACCTCATGGCTTGGTTTTTGCTCTGACATGCACAGTCAACTGTGGAACCTTATATATACAGGTGTTTCCATTTCCAAATCATGTCCAATCAATTGAATTTACCACAGGTGGACTCAAATCAAGTTGTAGAAACATCATCTCAAGGATGATCAATGGAAACAGGATGCACCTGGTTCTGAATACTTATGTAAATAAGGTATTTCTGTTTTTTTATGTTTTAATACATTTGCAAAAATTTCAAACCTGTTTTCGCTTTGTCATTATGGGGTATTGTGTGTAGATTGCTCAGGATTTTTTATATAATCCATTTTAGAATAAGGCTGTAACGTAACAAAATGTGGAAAAAGTCAATGGGTCTGAATACTTTACAAACGCACTGTCTGTGTTTCTCTTGGATAAAGTAAGATGTACTGTACTCTACTGGACTGTGCTCTTGGTTGTGTGTTGTAAGCGTACTGTTTTAATCATGTGTGAGCCTCTAGAGAATTGAAGTGGAATGGCCTCTGACATTACCTCATGGCTCTGAGGGGGTTCAAAACAGAATGTTCCATTATGTCATCGTCACTGCTGTAACACTCTGAGCTGAGAATGACCCAGCGTCAATTCAGAATCCTAATTTCAGAATGTATTAACCCGCACTGCCACTTCAGAGGTGAATCATTTCAGACTCGCTCTGAAGTGTTCTCTGATGGAGAGAAAAAGAGGGAGAGAGCGAGACCCTGGAAAACCCTGAAACCATATGTTCCCTCTTTCCTTCCCAGAATGCTGCAGACCTGTCACGACGACGTGTCTAAGTTTGTGCACCTCTTGGCCAAACCTGGCTGTAATTACCTGGAACAAGAGGACTTTATTCCATTCCTGCAGGTATAGGAACAGCATACACACAGCCACCCGGGGAGAGAGAGTGGGATTCTAGTTTGGGGAGAGGGGTATTACTGGGAAGAGCAGCAAGGAGGGGGTTCTTTGGGGCAGGGCAGGCCGGAGAGGGGTATTTTGGTCCAGTGGTAGTTATTTTTAAGAAACATGAGGACTTCATTCCATTTAGTGGTGTTTTATACTGAACAAAAATATAAACCAACATGTAAAGTGTTGGTCCCATGTTTCATGAGCTGAAATAAAATATCCCAGAAATGTTCCATATACACAAAAAAATTAATTCTCTCAAATTTTGTGCGCAAATTTGTTTACATCCCAGTTAGTGAGCATTTCTGCTTTACCAAGATAATCCATCCACCTGGCAGGTGTGGCATATCAAGTAGCTGATTTAACAGAATGATCATTACACAGGTGCACCTTGTGCTGGGGACAATAAAAGGCCACTCTAAACTGTGCAGTTTTGTCACACAACACAATGCCACAGATGTCTCAAGTTTTGAGGGAGCATGCAATTGGCATGCTGACTGCAGGAATGTCCACCAGAGCTGTTGCTAGAGAATCGAATGTTAATTTCTCTACCATAAGCTGACTCCAACGTTGTTTTAGAGAATTTGGCAGTACGTCCAACCGGCCTCAACCGCAGACGACGTATAAACAGGCCAGCCCAGGACCTCAACATCCAGCTTCTTCACCTGCGGGATTGTCTGAGACCAGCCACCTGGGCAGCTAATGAAACTGGGTTTGCACAACCGAAGAATTTTGTCGCAGGGAAACTAATCTGCGTGCTCGTCGTCCTCCCCAGGGTCTTGACCTGACTGCAATTCGGCGTCGTAACCGACTTCAGTGTGCAAATGCTCAGCTTCGATGGCCACTGGCACGCTGGAAAAGTGTGCTCTTCATGCATGAATCCCAGTTTCAACTGTACCAGGCAGATGGCAGTGTGGGCGACCGGTTTGCTGATGTCAACGTTGTCAACAGAGTGCCTCATGGTGGTGGTGGGGTTATGGTATGGGCAGGCATAAGCTACAGACAGTGAACACAATTGCATTTTATCGATGACACTTTGAATGCACAGAGATACCGTGACGAGATCCTGAGGCCCATTGTCGTGCCATTTTTTTTTTTCATCCGCCGCCATCACCTTATGTTTCAGCATGATAATGCACGGCCCCATGTTGCAAGGATCTGTACACAATTCCAGGAAGCTGAAAATGTCCCAGTTCTTCCATGGCCTGCATACTCATCAGACATAATCACCCATTGAGCATGTTTGGGATGCTCTGGATCGACATGTATTAACTTTGCACAGCCATTGAAGAGGAGTGCATGAGGCAAATGGTGTTCACACTAGATACTGACTGGTTTTCTGATCCAAGCCCCTACCTTTTTGCAAGGTATCTGTGACCAACAGATGCATATCTGTATTCCCAGTCATGTAAAATCCATAGATTAGGGCCTAATGAATTTATTTAAATTGACTGATTTCCTTATATGAACTGTAACTCAGTAAAATCTTTGAAATTGTTGCATGTTGCGTTTTATATTTTTGTTCAGTGTAGATTTATCAGAGAAAAAACTGTACCTTGTATTTCTTCTATCCCCTTTATAACAAACAAAATATTATGCCAATCACATCCCTGAGTTGAGTATTGCTGTGCTGGCCGTTTGTATAGTCTGTCTGCCAGGGTTTCAGGGGTTAGCCTGTGTGCAAGGGTTTTCTGGCACCGGACAAGTGACCGGGAATATTTTATTGGCCAAATGAGCCACATTTACATGTCTTTAAAGAAGAAATTCCACCCAAAATGATCTTTTGGTATTTGTTTTGCATGTCAGCAATCAAGTTTCCAAAATGCAGAAATACTTCGGGTATTTTGCATCATTTGATGCTAGCCGATATGATTCATGCCAAACACAGCATCATATGATGCCAAATGCGTCATACCGGCTGTATTTATGTATTTTGAAAGTTATATATCTTAAACTTGATTGCTGACATGCAAAATATTTTGGGACTATCAACAATGGACTAATGAAACAAATACCGAAAGAGAGTTTTTGGGTGGAGTTTTCCTTTGAAAACAGCCTATTACAAAAACACTTTATAGCCTTTATAGCCTAGGTTTTGAGGCTGACGTTTGGCAACCTCCACAGATTTTCTATGGGATTAAGGTCTGGAGACTGGCTAGGCCACTCCAGCACCTTAATGTGCTTCTTCTTGAGCCACTCCTTTGTTGCCTTGGCCGTGTGTTTTGGGTCATTGTCATGCTGGAATACCCATCCACAACCCATTTTCAATGCCCTGGCTGAGGGAAGGAGGTTCTCACCCAAGATTTGACGGTACATGGCCCCGTCCATCGTCCCTTTGATGCAGTGAAGTTGTCCTGTCCCCTTAGCAGAAAAACACCCCCAAAGCATAATGTTTCCACCTCCATGTTTGACGGTGGGGGTGGTGTTCTTGGGGTCATAGGCAGCATTTCTCCTCCTCCAAACACGGCGAGTTGAGTTAATGACAAAGAGCTGGATTTTGGTCTCATCTGACCACAACACTTTCACCCAGTTCTCCTCTGAATCATTCAGATGTTCATTGGCAAACTTCAGACGGCCCTGTATATGTGCTTTCTTGAGCAGGGGGACCTTGCGGGCACTGCTGGATTTCAGTCCTTCACGGCGTAGTGTGTTACCAATTGTTTTCTTGGTGACTATGGTCCCAGCTGCCTTGAGATCATTGACAAGATCCTCCCATGTAGTTCTGGGCTGATTCCTCACCGTTCTCATGATCATTGCAACTCCACGAGGTGAGAACTTACATGGAGCCCCAGGCCGAGGGAGATTGACAGTTATTTTGTGTTTCTTCCATTTGCGAATAATCACATCAACTGTTGTCACCTTCTCACCAAGCTGCTTGGCGATGGTCTTGTAGCCCATTCCAGTCTTGTGTAGGTCTACAATCTTGTCCCTGACATCCTTGGAGAGCTCTTTGGTCTTGGCCATGGTGGAGAGTTTGGAATCTGATTGATTGATTGCTTCTGTGGACAGGTGTCTTTTATACAGGTAACAAACTGAGATTAGGAGCACTCCCTTTAAGAGTGTGCTCCTAATCTCAGCTCATTACCTGTATAAAAGTCACCTGGGAGCCAGAAATCTTTCTGATTGAGAGGGGGTCAAATACTTATTTCCCTCATTAAAATGCAAATCAATTTATAACATTTTTGACATGCGTTTTTCTGGATTTTTGTTGTTGTTATTCTGTCTCTCACTGTTCAAATAAACCTACCATTAAAATTATAGACTGATCATTTCTTTGTCAGTGGGCAAACGTACAAAATCAGCAGGGGATCAAATCCTTTTTTCCCTCACTGTGTGTGTGTGTGTGTATATATATATATATATATATATATATAAGGAAGAGAAGCTTAGGCCTAGCCCCAGAGAGATAGAGATATGCCGGCGTCATGTTACGACACCAACATGCATGTCTTTATCCTTGTCAGATACTACTGCGTCTGCTATACAAATATTGGCATACAGAAGGAGGCAAATGTATACATTTTCGATCAGAATGTTTTTTACAATGATAAGTATTATATTGTTAAATTATATCAGTATTTCTGGTATGCTTAAAACATTCTTCCTCACCTCAAATTTTACTGTCAGAGTCAGTTGGAGCGCCAGTGCGCTCCGTCTTCATATCGTAGGCCTGCAATATAAAAGCCTAATAGCCACACCACACCAAACCTTCACAAATTGTTTTTAAGCTTTATTAGGGTAATATCAAAAGCAAGTCAAGCCATTGTTTAGGGAAAAAACGAGCAGGATATTATTTTGCGGCAAACACAACATTACAGTTTTAAACTTAATTTGGCCAAAGAAAATGGCTGACATTTTAAAACTTTACAACCGGTCTAAAACCTACAATTGAAGTCGGAAGTTTACATACACCTTAGCCAAATACATTTAAACTCAGTTTTTCACAATTCCTGACATTTAATCCTATTAAGAAGTCCCTGTCTTAGGTCAGTTAGGATCACCACTTTATTTTAAGAATGTGAAATGTCCGAATAATAGTAGAGAGAATTATTTCTTTCAGCTTTTATTTCTTTCATCACATTCCCAGTGGGTCAGAAGTTTACATACACTCAATTAGTATTTGGTAGCATTGCCTTTAAATTGTTTAACTTGGGTCAAACGTTTCGGGTAGCCTTCCACAAGCTTCCCACAATAAATTGGGTGAATTTTGGCTCATTCCTCCTGACAGAGCTGGTGTAACTGAGTCAGGTTTGTAGGCCTCCTTGCTCGCACATGCTTTTTCAGTTCTGCCCACAAATGTTCTATAGGATTGAGGTCAGGGCTTTGTGATGGCCACTTCAATACCTTGACTTTGTTGTCCTTAAGCCATTTTGCCACAACTTTGGAAGTATGCTTTTGGTCATTGTCCATTTGGAAGACCAAGCTTTAACTTCCTGACTAATGTCTTGAGATGTTGCTTCAATATATCCACATAATTTTGCTTCCTCATGATGCCATCTATTTTGTGAAGTGCACCAGTCCCTCCTGCAGCAAAGCACCCCCACATCATGATGCTGCCACCCCCATGCTTCACGGTTGGGATGGTGTTCTTTGGCTTGCAAGACCCCCCTTTTTCCTCCAAACATAACGATGGTCATTATGGCCAAACAGTTCTATTTTTGTTTCATCAGACCAGAGGACATTTTTCCAAAAAGTATGATCTTTGTCCCCATGTGCAGTTGCAAACCGTAGTCTGGCTTTTTTTATATCGGTTTTGGAGCAGAGGCTTCTTCCTTGATGACTGGCCTTTCAGGTTATGTCGATATAGGACTTGTTTTACTGTGGATATAGATACTTTTGTACCTGTTTCCCCCAGCATCTTCACAATGTCCTTTGCTGTTGTTCTGGGATTGATTTGCACTTTTCACACCAAAGTACGTTCATCTCTAGGAGACAGAACGTGTCTCCTTCCTGAGCGGTATGACGGCTGCGTGGTCCCATGGTGTTTATACTTGCGTACTATTGTTTGTACAGATGAACGTGGTACCTTCAGGAGTTTGGAAATTGCTCCAAGGATGAACCAGACTTGTGGAGGTCTACAATTTATTTGGCTGATTTCTTTTGATTTTCCCATGATGTCAAGCAAAGAGGCATTGAGTTTGAAGGTAGGCCTTGAAATACATCCACAGGTACACCTCCAATTGACTCAAATGATGTCAATTAGCCATGACATCATTTTATTTTATTTTCCAAGCTGTTTAAAGGCACAGTCAACTTCTGACCCACTGGAATTGTGATATAGTGAATTATAAGTGACATAATCTGTCTGTGAACAATTGTTGGAAAAATGACTTGTGTCATGCACAAAGTAGATGTCCTAACCGACTTGCCAAAACTATAGTTTGTTAACAAAACATTTGTGGAGTGGTTGAAAAACGAGTTTTAATGACTCCAACCTAAGTGTATGTAAACTTCCGACTTCAACTGTATCTTAAATGAAATACGGAGCACACAATTAAAAAGACAGATTGAATTTAAATTTAGCAAACGATAATGTCTCAACAGAATGAAACAAAACATGTTTTGAATATTTAAAGAACTGGTTTAGATTAATAAATAGGCGTACAATAATAACAATGAGATACAATAATTATAACGATAAAACATGTTTTACATTTTGTATATATTATTTTATTAATTAAAGTTCAAAAATTGCATCCTACCTGAATAGCGAGTTGCACAGTAGCCTGCATTTGTTCGCGCCAACGTTCTTCTCATCTTTGTCCACTACAATATTACAACGTTTCCATACAGAGGACATTCCCCTTGTAACCTTTTCACTATAGGCATACTCTCTAACTTTAATTTTACTTCAATGAAAAAGGCTTCCATCATAGCAATCAACAATAGCCTAGGACAAGGCTACTCTCTCGCTCTCTCCTCAGCAGCAGGTGCATGCACGTAAGGAAGTGTCAAGGAGTGAGAGAATGGTGCTAAAGTGCGAAAAGGGTGTGTGACAGGATCGGCCAATAGTCAATTACTGGCTAACGTAAACCCTGCTGTCTGCCTACCTACCTGGTGGTTTCCCGTATCTGCCCCACATTGGGCTGATTGATATTCATGCTGGCAGAGCCGTATGGGCCGCGACAAAACACCCGTTAGCATACAGGGAGGAGATGCCTTCTGGCACTCACCGTTTAATTTGTATTGCGGCGCCGGGCGAATGGGCTCTGACCGTTGTGATGAATGAAGGAAAGATTGGCGCCGAGTAGATGTGACTGGCCACGCAAGTTTCCTCACCCTGGTGATTTATGGGTTTTTCTATGATTTAATTTCTCACAGGAAGGGTCAAGGGGGGGCGCACCGCCTCAAAATAAAGCTATTTTAATTTCACAGCCGCCTTCTCATTTACATCAATGTTTAGTTCCTTTCACCCCTCTGGTAGACAGGGGGGTAAAAAAATGGGAGAAGAGGCATGAGTGATTTTCATGGCATGGATAAATGTACAGTTCATTGGAGATTCAGCTCACCAGTCACCACATGAAAGTGTCTGTGTGTGGTGGTCCAACATGGAGAATATGAGCAGCTATATAACAGCAGGCCTCTTCTCCCATTGGTCTCCTATTGTTCCCATGGTCTCAATGTCTTCAGCATGTCCCCTACTCATGCCGGCCATTTAAAGGGATAAGAGTCTGTTAGATGCTTTTATACTTCAAAAGTGCAATCCAATTGTCCTCCCAATTAGATTCTTTCCATTCATCTGCCATTGCGGTCTGCAGAGTTCTCCTAATGCATAGTTGGATCTACACAACAGATGGAGCGGCTATATGGATGGACGCCGCTTGACTTTAAGCCACCTTTTTGAAGTTCCAATACATCTAACAGATCTTGAATATGGGGTTTGAGCTAGTCATGCCCTTTCAACATCTCTCCAACAGGCAGAGCAGAAGATGGGGTCTGTCTTTCTGCTACGAACTCCCCAGAGTCCCCAGAGAGTGATTTGACATACTGTTGTATGTTTGATTGTCTCTCTGGTGCTTGTCTTGTGGCAAGGCCCAGTTAGTCCTCTGGACCTCTCCCCGGCCTTGTTGTAATGTTATTAACCTCCTGTCTGTGTTGTTCAGGATGTGGTGAACTCTCACACAGGCCTGGCCTTCCTGAAGGAGGCGTCCGACTTCCACTCACGCTACATCACCACAGTAAGTCATTATACATACCACACCAAAAGACATTTGGCATTTTTCAAACCATACCACTTGGCATGTCTACAGAGGTTAACGTGTGATGTTGAATGTGATGTCAAATGTGTCCTATCTTAATTGGATTCCGTGACTGACTCTGAAGCCTTGGTGTCATATACAGATTTTTTCTGTGGATGAGTTTAAATGATATTTTGAGTGTACTGGGGGCTATTAAAGCTGTGTGTTGTGTCTGCAGGTTGCCCAGAGGATATTCTACAATGTGAACAGGTCATGGTCAGGCAGGATCAGCTGTTCAGAGCTCAGGAAAAGCAGCTTTCTCCAGGTAGGAAGGAAGGGAGCTTTGACATGGAACCGATCAGTTGTCACATCTACAGTAATGCTGTAAGTCGAATGGGCCCACCCTCTTGTCGAGTCTGGTTCCTCCAATGGTTTCTTCCCATCAAGAGATACAGTGACATTGTCCTCGTCACTATCTGTGAAAAGTGTGAAATAAGTCACCAGTGATTGTTTGATTGATTGGCTGGTTGATTGATGAATTGATTGGTCCAACAGAACGTGGCCCTGCTAGAGCAGGAGGAGGACGTGAACCAGCTGACAGAGTTCTTCTCCTATGAACATTTCTACGTCATCTACTGCAAGTTCTGGGAGCTGGACACAGACCATGACCTATACATAGACCAGAGAGACCTGGCCCGACACAACGACCAAGGTACACACACACACACACACACACACGACCTCTACATAGACAAAAGAGAGCTAAGGGGTATGTCACGAAGCGGGATATAGAGGAGTTCACAAGCTCAATTCTGAAAGAAACTCGGGATAACCGTTGAGTTGGAAAGCGCTAGCGAGCTTCGTGACATACCCCTCTGGTCTGACACAACGACCAAGGTGTAAACACACACACACACACACACACACACACACACACACACACACACACACACACACACACACACACACACACACACAGAGAGAGGATGACCAAGACTACCTTAATGTCCAAGTGCTTTGCTCCCACACACCACTCCATATGTTCCTGGTCATGAAGGAAACGGGAAAGAAGATCAATGGGGCAATAGGCCTAACGCCACCCACCCACCCCCCAAATGAATATCCTGGTTGAATTGGATGACGCCATGTCTGGCTCCATTTATTAGTCCTATAGATCTCCCCTACAAGCAGAAATTGCTGTATTTATGGTATGGAAATGATAAAGGAGAGGTTAACACAGTTACATCATTCACTTTACTTCCCAAAGAGCTGGATTTATGTTCTGTGGATCACATCTATAATGAAATACCTTTTATACAGTAACTCGCATCACATTGTTATCTTGCCTAGTTTGTAAAGGTTTTTTCTCCCGTGTTTTCCAGCTATCTCCCACAAGATGATTGAAAGAATATTTTCTGGGACAGTTACCAGGTAAGAGACATGGACTAATTAATGGCTGTTATGACGTTCCACACTGTGTTCTGTATCGACTCCTTTCACTGAGTTGAGGTTGGCTTGGGCCCCCTGTGTGTTTTTCCTCAGATAAATGCAACATTTAATCTACTATTGTCTAAAGCTCTGTGTAGATTTTGCTATTTGCTAGAAATAAACAAATATTCCCTGCAAATAAAGCTTGATAGAATTGAAGGTGAAGTAAGAGAGTGGTGTGTTTGAGTGTTGCCCTACCCATCGCTCTCCTCCCAGGGATAGACATCTGCGTAAAGACGGCAGGCTTAGCTACGCTGACTTTGTCTGGTTCCTCATCTCTGAAGAAGACAAGAAGACTGACACCAGGTACTACATACAGTAACACCAGTCTCACATTTGAAACAGAATATAATTTTTGTTTAGAATTATTTTGAACAGTCTCCACCCCGCTCTGTATAGAGTACTGATTTGTGTGTTGGTGACACCACTCTATCCTGTGTATCTTGCCCGTCTCTCTCTTTCTCCCTCCACAGTATAGAGTACTGGTTCCGGTGTATGGACCTGGATGGGGACGGTGTGTTGTCTATGTACGAGCTGGAGTATTTCTATGAGGAGCAGTGTGTGAAGTTGGAGACCATGGCAATCGAGCCCCTGCCCTTCGAGGACTGTCTCTGTCAGATGCTGGACCTGGTCAAGCCGGAGGTCGAAGGTCAGACACCTAAACACACATGATAAACTTGTTCCATAGTGACATGCAGACTGACCTGCACAACCACATTTTAGAATGTCAGTCCCTCAAGACAAGATATACGTGTTAGCAATGAAGTAAAGAGTTAGCATACACAAGCACACACACACACCAGTACATCACAGCAACTGGGCTAAATAGTAATACTGCGCTGAATGAAAGACGATGACTAATCAAAGGGTTCCAACCTCTTTACGTATTTTGTATCTATTTGACAGCATTGTCAGAAATGAGAGAAAGAGATACATGTAGAGGGACAGACAGATGAGATGGGTGGAGGCAGGATTCACAGCCACGTCGCCAGGGGTATACATTACATTCGGAAAGTATTCAGACCCCTTGACTTTTCCCAAATTTTGTAACGTTACAGCCTTATTCTAAAATTGATTAAATTGTTTTTTTCCCCCTCATCAATCTACACACAATACCCCATAGTGACAAAGCAAAAAGCAAAACAAATTTATAAAAAATTATAAACTGAAATATCAAATTTACATAAGTATTCAGACCCTTTACTCAGTACTTTGTTGAAGCACCTTTGGCAGCGATTACAGCCTCGAGTCTTCTTGGGTATGACGGTACAAGCTTGGCACACCTGTATTTGGGGAGTTTCTCCCATTCTTCTCTGCAGATCCTCTCAAGCTCTGTCAAGTTGGATGGGGAGCGTTGCTGCACAGATATTTTCAGGTCTTTCCAGAGATGTTCGATCGAGTTCAAGTCCGGGCTCTGGCTGGGCCACTCAAGGACATTCAGAGACTTGTCCCGAAGCCACTCCTGCGTTGTCTTGGCTGTTTGCTTAGGGTCATTGTCCTGTTCGAAGGTGAACCTTTACCCCAGTCTGAGGTCCTGAGCGCTCTGGAGCAGAATTTCATCAAGGATCTCTCTGTACTTTGCTCCGTTCATCTTTCCCTCAATCCTCACTAGGGCTGCACGATATATCGTTTCAGCATCGACATTGCGATGTATGCATCCGCAATAGTCACATCGCAGAACGTGCGATTTAGTAAGGTAAACATATAGCAGTCTACTATATATATTTTTCAAATGTTAATCTAGCATTATATTTGTCTGATATAACATAATTTACTCCGATTCATGGGTTATTGGATACACAGTTTATTATTATTATTATTATTATTTTAAACACGGAGTTCGTTGCTGCATGTGGTTGACATGCAGGCTCTGCTTGCGCGTGACGAAATGATGAGCGAGGAACAGGCAAAAAAGACCGACATGGAGAATTTGGTTGCAAAAAGAAATGCATCGTCAATTATATGGAAATATTTCGGCTACAGACAGGATGATGTAGACCAAAAACAGGTACTTTGTCGAGAGTGCCTTGCAATTGTTGCCACAACACGAGGCAACACGACCAATTTGTTTGATCATTTAAGGCGGCACCACAAATCTTCGTATGACGAGTGCAAAGCATCTCAATGCCCTCCAAAGCAAAAATCTATTTTGGATGCCTTTGCCAGTATTACACCATACAATAAAATTTCACGTCGCCGAAGACATGGTACCAATTAACACGGTTACCAAAGAGGGTTTTAAAAACATGATCCGGTCGCTTGACAAGCGGTATGTAATGCCATCACGCAACTATTTTTCTCAAGTTGCCATCCCAGAGTTGTACGAGAAATGCAAGGCACAAGTTGAAACAGAGCTGTCACAAGTGGAATATTATACAGCAACAACGAACTTGTGGTCCAGCCGGACAACGGAGCCCTACATAAGTCTGATGTACACTTTACTAATGAGGACTTCCACCTGAAAAGTCGCTGTTTGCAAACTGAATTTTTCATACATACATCCTGTATCTTTTCATATCGCAATGTATATCGCAGAATTTTTTTTTTTCTCGCAATGTCAGTTATTTCCAATATCGTGCAACACTAATCCTCACTAGTCTCTGAGTCCCTGGCTCTGAAAAACATCCCTACAGCATGATGATGCCACCACCATCCTTCACCGTGGGGATGGTGCCAGGTTTCCTCCAGACGTGACGCTTGGCATTCAGGCCAAAGAGTTCAATCTTGGTTTCATCAGACCAGAGAATCTTGTTTCTTATGGTCTGAGAGTCCTTTAGGTGCCTTTTGGCAAACTCCAAGCGGGCTGTCATGTACCTTTTACTGAGGAGTGGCTTCAGCCTGGCCACTCTACCATAAAGGCCTGATTGGTGGAGTGCTGCAGAAATGGTTGTCCTCCTGAAAGGTTATCCCATCTCCACAGAGGAACTCTGGAGCTCTGTCAGAGTGACCATCTGGTTCTTGGTCACCTCCCTGACCAAGTCCCTTCTCCCCCGATTGCTCGGTTTGCCCGGGCGGCCAGCTCTTGGAAGAGTCTTGGTGGTTCCAAACTTCTTCCATTTAAGAATGATGGAGGCCACTGTGTTCTTGGGGACCTTCAATGCTGCAGAAATGTTTTGGTACCCTTCCCCAGATCTGTGCCTTCGACACAATCATGTCTCGGAGCTCTATGGACAATTCCTTCAACCTCATGGCTTGATTTTTGCTCTGACAACGGTGAGACTTTATATAGACAGGTGTGTGCCTTTCCAAATCATGTCCAATCAATTGAATTTACCACAGGTGGACTCCAATCTATTTTTAGAAACATCTCAAGGATGATCAATGGAAACAGGATGCACCTGAGCTCAATATTGAGTCTCATAGCAAATGGTCTAAATACTTTTGTAAATAAGGTATTTCTGTTTTATATTTGTAATACATTTGCAAACATTTCTAAAAACCTATTTTCGCTTTGTCATTATGGGGTATTGTGTGTAGATTGATGAGGATTTTTTATTTATTTAATCAATTTTAGAATAAGGCTGTAACGTAAGAAAATGTGGAGAAAGGGGTCTGAATATTGGCCGAATGCACTGTATGTGGTCCGGAGTTGGGAGGGCTAACCACTACGGCGGAGTCCAGCACACAACAATGAATGCTAGCCTAGGTTAATGCCACAAGTAGCTATTAGTTCCAGCGTGTAGCATTTTTAGACTGAAGCTTTGGTTCCAATGTACCATGTAAACTAAATAAAGCACAGCTCAGGTATTTTACATTTATTTGACCTAGGTTTGGGAGCACCACTAAACCTTGAAATGCAGCTGGATTGGGCATTTTTTTTTTTGATTATTATTCTCCCCCAGGAAAGATCACCCTACGGGACCTGAAGCAGTGTAAGTTGTCCCACATCTTCTATGACACCTTCTTCAATATCGAGAAGTACCTGGACCACGAGCAGAAAGACCCCTTCTCTGTTGTAAGGGTAACTATTGACTACAACAGGATGTTATTATTATGCCGGGATGACAGGATATGACCTCATAGGTCCTGAGGCCGTGGGGTAATGGAGTTTTGTTGGTTGTGTGTTTGTAAGGAGGCCGAGACAGAGGGCCAGGAGATCTCGGACTGGGAGAAATATGCAGCGGATGAGTACGATATCCTGGTTGCCGAGGAGACTACTACCGATCAGTACAACGGCGGGTAAGACTGACGGACGGACTGACTACACTCAAACAGTGCAATCATAACCAGTGTTCGATCATTTACCAGACAGAATCGCAGATGCCTCTTGTTGATTTAATGACCAATTTCCCATCAGTTTCTGTAAAGGAGAAAGTCAATAGTTGAATTCACAGTTGGTTGGGGGACCAACTCTGACTGTGCTGTCCAGAAGGATAATTTGTGCTTTGACCTTTTCTGTAGTAGGAATGCCAGGGTTAGTGACTAAGTCAGTCATCTGTCATTTTCCATAAGCATCTTTTATAAGCTCTTAGATTATCACTGTAGACGTAATGTATGGCAAGTTTTTCTTTGTAGTGGCTTGACTTCAGGAGGACTGCTGTGGTTGTGTAGAATGATGATAGGGGGCCAGTGTGAGGGATAAGGCTGTTAACAGGCTATTGTGTGGCGGTTTTAGGAACACCACACACTTCTAAAGACAAGCTGGGTAGGATGAGGGAGAGGCTGCTTTACCTGGCCAGGTAAGAGAGCAGGGCGTCTGTCTGTCTATCCTCAGGGTGTAGGCTCTCTCTCACTCCTCCTTCACTCTCTCCACCCGTAGCCTCTAGGCACTTGTGTCTAAAAGACTTGGATAAGTAGTAGTGGGTAGGTACCTGTGTGTGTGTACATGGTAAGCACTCCACCTTGTCCTCTGATAAGCTTGGGTGTATTTTTTGCCATAACTACACTCTATTCTTTCAACACCTAGGACTCTGAGGTAGGGAGGGGCTACAGGCTGATATGGAATTGATATGGCAGCTGTGTTTCAAAACCAATCCCTTCCTCAGCACTCTCAGTAGAACTCTTCACCATCTGTATTCTCCCACCTGTTGTTCCTCCTGTTGTTGTTGTGGCCTCACCTGTTTATCTCTTGAACACTGGTAGGTCCTCCATGGAGTTGATCCCTGCCTATCTACTGTACCACTTTTTGTCCTGTCTGTCATATAGGTACTTTATTCCAATGCAATGCTTTTATTTCACTATGTTGAAAGAACTTCTCTCTCGCTCATATATTCTCTGCAGGTATGACAATGCTCTGAGTCCCATCTCCAGTGAATTGGGTCTGAGGACAGAGAAGAGACATTTCTTTGAGATCCCCAACCCTCACTGCAATCTGGACTTGGATGAGGACGACTTTGAATGACCAGCACTGGGAGAGCAACAAAACAGGGAGAAGAAGCGGCTACAGGATACAGGACAAACAGCAGTGTGAGCAGTTGAATGCCAAACCAGAACCACAAACGTTCACACTAAACAACCGTACAGACACGATCACACAGTAGTGAGGGACAGTCAAACGGCTAACTCTGAACCACGGACGCTCGTCAAACTAGGGATGAAAACAAGCGCTCCCACCAAACTACAGGACAAACAAACATCACATGGTTCCTTAGTGTGAAGCTGGCAACCACAGGAACAGGAAACGCCCACCAGACACTAGGCAATACAGGAAGAAGACACATTCTGTGGTGGGAAGTAGCATCTCTATCTGCCAAACGATGCAGGTGCCGTTACCACCTCTCACCTTTAAGTAGAGGACACTTCAGTCCATGGCCTCAAAAAAAAATCAGTTAAGGTACAGACACATTGTTGCAACAGAGTGATAAAAGGTGCTGCCATCATCTTAGCAGTGGTGTTAAAAATACGTCAATTGGTTAAACGCTGGTTCCTACTGGGTCCTGGCTCAACACTTCTTGGTTGTGACTACAAACATCAGTTTTGTTATTTGGTGGCTCGCGAGGCAATTCAGGAGGCCTTGGGTGGGTCGCAGCGTGAAACATTTACGTCATTAGGAGATCCGAGAGGCTTTTAGGTGGGTCAATCACAGCATGAAACAATTTGGTAACAATTAGACTAGAGACACTGCAGACACACTGAAGCTCACTGAGGCACACTTGAATTATTAAGTTAATATACCACATCAACGATAAACATTGTTTTGTTAATCATTCTTAGGAATTGGCTAATTCAACATTCCAGAGATATTAACCATATTGAGTCGTTTCTGGTCCGATCGCAAAATAAAAAGGTATGGTCTACCTGCTGGGAGGGGCGGGGTAGTAGAGTGCTGGAGCTCAGTCCAAATGCCTGGCAAGGCAGACACACAGTTTCTAACTGTACAATAATGAGTTCATCAGTATAACATCTTCTATCATATGCTTTTTTTGTGTGAGAGATGGGGTTATAAATTATTAGAAATATTTATAAATAGCTGTAAATATTTATTTTGTGCTTGCTGTGTTGCATAATAGTTGGTCAGATGTTTTAAACAAAATATTTTTTTTCTATCTGACAAAGTACTTTATAACAATGTACTTTCATACAGGAAGTTAAATGTATGTTTTGTTCAAATAAAGAATTAAAAAGATAATATTGTGGCATTTCTTCATAGAAAGAAGCAAGAGAAAATTGAATGCGAGTAATATTTGATGGAAGGAACAGTTCAAAGTTGAGTGGTAAACAAATGTTTATAGGTTGATTATGGTATTTCCAATGACACAAAAGTCAATTAAAACAGGTCTGATCAGTTACTATGACCACACACATTTCCATTAGAACAACAAATGAACAGTGGTGAGTTTGTCATCAATAACAATCCTACTTAGACAGATCTCACCTACATTAGCTAAGCCATAACACAATCATTACTGGCTAGGACACATCTGCAGTTCAATATTGTACAATACTGCTACAACAACCTGACTCATTGATAATCATTGTCTATATAACCTTAGAACCCTAACCCCTTATACAATACACACACCATATGCTTATTTTACAATCAAAATGAATACGTTGGCACCAAAATAGCATTGCTACTATTTAAGTTGAGGATTTTCAAGTTAACATGTATTTTCATTAACATACTTTTTTAGTGTTTATGTAAAAACGAGCCCATTAGCTTTCCTAAAAGCTGTTGATATAAACAATTGAGTCGTGCTTTGTACTTGGTACTTATTCTTTCAAGCTTGAGAGAGCAATTTTTATCATTCTTTAGTCTCTAGACGTACTTTTCCCAAGAGCGAAGCCCAATTATGGGTCAAATATAACAGCACCAGCAGATACATTGGTTTCAATACTTTCAATACAAATAAAAAGAGCTTATATCCATAATGCACCACATCATTGATTCCAGGACAATACAGAGGTATACCCAGTGTAAGTAAAGTCTTAACCTACCATTGGTACAGCATCTTCTCTAAGGAAGACCGTCAAATGATTTTGTCCACATGGGCTGGTAAAAAAAAAAAAAAACTTTCAAAGAGCCACTTGTATTTTGAGAGTTGGTTTAAATAAGGTTACAGAAAAATACTCCAACCATGTCATGCATTCTGGAAATACAATGATGACTATTGATATGGACGACAACTGTCTCAATAGACTAAAGCGGCTTGCATGTCTTGTCTCCTTTCCTACATCTGGATCTGGACGGGGGAAAGCATACGGGTAGGCATCCACCATATTACTTTCACCCATCCTATTTTTTTATCTTTCAAATCAGTGCAAATGAAGGAGAGGACGCAATACTATTGTCCCTTTCGATAACTAAAATGCGTACAAGGGTGTTTCTCTACTCCCTTCAGATGTCCAGCCCTCTATTCCATCCCTCTCCAGACACGACCCCTAGCCACCTGTGTAGATATCAATAGGTATTGGAGTTATAAGCAATATGGTACTACATCCACTTCCTTTTTGATAGGCAAGGTGATAATTTTTGTCATATTGCTTACACATATGAAGTCCTTCTTTGCCTTCCATCCATTTTCATATACTCATCACATACGATGCTGCTACTGTTCTACCTATCATGTTGCCTAGTCACTTTATTCCTGGTTATATGTACATATCTACCTCAATTACTTTGTACCCCTGCACATCGACTCGGTACTGGTACCCCAAGTTATCGTTACTCATTGTGTATTTATTATTACGTGTTAACTTTTCTATTATTTCGCAATTTTCTTTCTCTCTGAATTGATGGGAAGGGCCAGTAAGCATTTCACTGTTAGTCTACGAAGCATGTGACAAATATTATTTTATTTGATCCATCTTCCAGTTCACAGGGCAACCTCCACGGTGTCCACATCCAATTCCTCATTAGCGTGGGACGGCTCCTCTGATATCACTATGGTCGGCGGGGGTTCCCTGACGATGAGACCAAGCTCAACCTCTGGCTTCCTGTCCTCTGGGCTGAGACAGACAGGGTCAAAGACAGAAATATAATTAATAGAACAATTATACTCTATGGTTAGAGACAGTGAGCCCTGCTTGAATATATTTTTTTAAATGCATCCCTTCCTGGGGAAGCAATCACTGATCTGTACGTGATTGAATGAGTGAAGACAGTGTTTCCATCTTTACTTCAAGGTAAAACAGGATGAAATAAGTATTTCAAAGGAGCAAAAACTTGGCCAGAGTTGGGATTAGTTCCATCTCCATTCCACTTAATTCAGGGTTACAGTTAGGGCTGGGATTAGTGTTAGGGTTGCTACCTTGTGCTGCTGCTGGCTTTATGGGGCCTCCTTACTTTGGTGTCAGTAGAGGTGAGAGCAGACGGGGACCTCATGTCTCCTATCAAAGACAATATACATTTCCCTATCAGTCAGCTCAATCGAATACGTTCTGTGAGCATAACGATCTTGCCAGCCTTTTATGGCACTCTGAAAACGAAATATGCAAGAATAAGTCCTATACAAAGCGCAATCAATCATTGAAGTCATGTCATGGTGGGTATCATGATCAGATGGTCCCTGTCTGATGATATCAAAGTACCTACCGTCAGCAGTAGGGCTGTGTCTGACAGAGGGAGAGCGTGAGCGATTGGCTGGAGACGGCTGCTTTAGCGTATCAGAGCTGATGAAGGACACAGCATCCTCCCCCTCAGCCCCAGTAGCCAATAAGGAGGCTCGGTAATAGATGAGTGGCAGCCAACACTCTTCTCTGTTACTGATGGTCTGTTCACTTACGTACCTCTGTAGGTAGGAGTAACTGGAGGGAGAGAGGGACAGGTTTAAGCTAGTCCACTAACACACACACACAGTCTTTAAAAAGGTCCAATGCAGCCATTTTTATCTCAATATTAAATAATTTCTGGTAACTATTAAGTACCTTACTGTGATTGTTTTCAATTAATATGGTCAAAAAGAAACAATAGCTTCTTAGCAAAGAGCAATTTCTCAAGCAAGACTTTTGCTAGGACTGTCTGGGAGTGGTCTGATTGGCAGAGATGTTTGAAACTCTCTTTCATATTGATCTATTAACTAATTTACCACCTGGTGATGTCACCAGGCAGGCCAAAACTCCATCCCAACAAAATAGGCTGAAATTTCAGGCAGTCTTTTAAAACCGCTCTTACACTAAAAGGGCATTATCATAATTTTCACAATTTCACAGTATTATTCCAACCTCAGTGTGGAAATATACAGTACCAGTCAAAAGTTTGGACACACCTACTCATTCAAGGGTTTTTCTTTATTTTTACAATATTCTACATTGTAGAATAATAGTGAAGACATAATCTATGAAATAATACATATAGAATCATGTAGTAACCAAAAAAGTGTTAAACAAATCAAAATATATTTTATATTTGAGATTCTTCAAATAGCCATCCTTTGCCTTGATGACAGCTTTGCACACTCTTGGCATTCTCTTAACCAGCTTCATGAGGTAGTCACCTGGAATGCATTTCAATTAACAGATGTGCCTTGTTAGACAGAAGATAGCCCTATTTGGTAAAATACCAAGTCCATATTATGGCAAGAACAGCTCAAATAAGCAAAGAGAAACAACAGTCCATCATTGCTTTCAGACATGAAGGTCAGTCAATCTGGAAAATGTCAAGAACTTTGAAAGTTTCTTCAAGTGCAGTTGCAAAAACCATCAAGCGCTATGATGAAACTGGCTCTCATGAGGACCACCACAGGAAAGGAAGACCCAGAGTTACCTCTGCTGCAGAGGATAAGTTCATTAGAGTTGCCAGCCTCAGAAACTGCAGCCCAAATAAATGCTTCACAGAGTTCAAGTAACAGACATCTCAACATCAACTTTTCAGAGCATCAGGCCTTCATGGTGAAATTGATGCAACGAAACCACTACTAAAGGACACCAATAAGAAGAAGAGACTTGCTTGGGCCAAGAAACACGAGCAATGGACATTAGACCGGTGGAAAAGTGTCCTTTGGTCTGGAGTCCAAATTGGAGATTTTTTGGTTACAACCGCTGTGGCTTTGTGAGACGCGGTGTGGGTGAACGGATGATCTCCGCATGTGTATTTCCCACCGTAAAGCATGGAGGAGGAGGTGTTATGGTGTGGGGGTGCTTTGCTGGTGACACTGTCTGTGATTTATTTAGAATTCAAGGCACACTTAACCAGCATGGCTACCACAGCATTATGCAGTGATACGCCATCCCATCTGGTTTGGGCTTAGTGGGACTATCATTTGTTTTTCAACAGGACAATGACACAACACACCTCCAGGCTGTGTAAGGGCTATTCTACCAAGAAGGAGAGTGATGGAGTGCTGCATCAGATGACCTGGCCTCCTCAATCCCACGACCTCAACCCAATAGAGATGGTTTGGGATGAGTCAGACCGCAGAGTGAAGGAAAACAGCCAACAAGTGCTCAGCATATGTGGGAACTCCTTCAAGATTGTTGGAAAAGCATTCCAGGTGAAGCTGGTTGAGAGAATTCCAAGATTGTGCAAAGCTGTCATCAAGGCAAAGGGTGGCTATTTGAAGAATCTCAAATATAAAATATTTTTATTTGTTTAACACTTTTTGGGTTACTACATGATTCCATATGTGTTATTTCATAGTTTTGATGTCTTCACTATTATTCTACAATGTAGAAAATAGTACAAAATTAAAACCCTGGAATGAGTAGGTGTCCAAACTTTTGACTGGTACTGTGTATATAAAATCACTTTTTTGACTGCACTTTTTTGACTACACTTTTTTAACTGTATACTTACACAATCTTCTTGTCTGGTCTGAGGAGCTTGCTGGAGAACTCGCTGAGGATGGTGAGGTAGGAGAGGTAGGGAGGTGAGGGCTTCTCTGCTCTCTGGACAAAGCCCTGAAAAACAAACTCTATACCATCCCTACACACACACACACACACACACACACACACAGAGAGGAAAGGTGAATGAATGACATATGAGCGCATTGAGCGTAGGAAATGTGCTCTAAAAATGTTATTATTAGTATAATTATTATGAGTATAAGTAACATTAGTATTATTTTAAACAAATGCTCATAGTACTGGTTGAAGTGTGGTGAAATGAGGCCTCGGAAACCATGATGAATAACATTAACGGGACGTGAGTGTGTGTGTGTGTATGTATACCAGGTTATGAGGTAGTGTTTACCTACCTATGGATCATAGCAAGGGACTCTCTGGACTTGGTCTGGTCCCAGCCGAATGTGAGAGAGAAACGTCTGGCCAGCTCCTTGATGCTGCTGAATGTTTGGACACCTGAGCTACATGTGACTCCACTGTCCTGCTCCTGCTTCAGACGCAGGAACAACTGAAGCAAAAGTGACAGAGACATCACTGATCAACTTGGTCACAGTTTCGTTCAATTCATATCAGCTGAATCTAACTCAACTCTAAAGTGTACTTTACTCAATTTAGTTCAGTTCAGATAAGCTCAGTTAAATCAAATCCAACTAAAATCCAATCAGCTCAATTCAAATCAAACTCAGCTCTCTCTCTCATTTAGACCTGAATGATATTTGCCATCCATTAGCCAACTAAAGGACAACACATACCCATATACTGCAGAGCTGAGTGAGAGGCCAAAAAACAGCAATGAGTGCATCCCCTTCAAGCCACTCCTCCCTCCTCTGTGGGATCTACCATTAGCTATTCAGAAAATGGTGAGGCTGGAATATTCCACAGTGAAGGGAGGATGGCTATGTGTCTGTGAGGTGTAGCAAGGCTTCTAGGCTCTGTCAGTGTGTGTGTGTGTGTGTGTGCCATAATTAGTTAATTATCATAATTATGATGTTTTGGATCTTCCTGAAATTAAATCCATAAAAAGGTCCTTTATGGTAAGGATGTTTGGCATATATTTGAAATCTGTGAAGTTGTGAAATTGTGGCCTTACCCAGGCCTCTACAATTAGTCTGTATTGGTGTCATTTATAACTTTACCATGTGAAGAATACAATTTATGGATAATAACAAATATAAACGTGAATATCTAAAACCTGGAGGCCTGGGTAATGCCAAAATGTCACACATTTCCCTACTTTAATTATTTCTCAATAATTCTTTTGGATACAGATTTCAAATGTATGCAAAACATCCTTCTCCCAGTGGATTTAATTTGAGGAAGATGCAAAACATCATAATTATTCTAACCTTAAAGGATTACAACCAAATTATGATAAGCGTACTTAATTGCATATTGGATCACTAAAAAATACAACTTTTCCATTACCGTGTAGTTTACCAATAAAATGGTCTGACGGTGAAGCGGACATAGTCTGTATTCATAACGCGAAATGAATAAATAATCTAACTACAATACATTTTAAAAGAAAGTTAGCAAACATAGATAAGACCTTGCTACCAGGGAAAGGACAACACCTGTCTATTTGTGGAAAAATCACCCTGATTAACTCTTTAGTCATATCCCAGTTTACCTATTTGCTTATATGAGCAACAAATATTCAATTTTATTTGGAACGGCAAGCCAGACAAAATTAAACGTGTCTATTTATATAATGAATATGAATTCGTAGGGCAGAAATGATTAAATATTAAAGCATTAGACCTATCACTAAAGGCTTCAGTCATACAAAAGCTATACTTAAATTCCCTAGCATATTAGTAAGAATGGCTAACCCAGTGTTCAAGAATGGCCTTTTTCCCTTTATTCAGATTACAACCTCTCACTTTCGGTTATTTGAAAATATCGCTATTTTTAAAACAACCAATAGAAAGTTGGTTGCTATTTCAGCTTAATCCACCAGAAAAGACAGAACAAATATTATAACAAATATTATGGTTAAACTCAAATATATAAAAATATACAGTACTAGTCAAAGGTTTGGACACACCTACTCATTCAAGGGTTTTTCTTTATTTTTTACTATTTTTTACATTGTAGAATAATAGTGAAGACATCAAAACTATGACATAACACACATGGAATCATGTAGTAACCAAAAAAGTATTAAACAAATCAAAATATATTTTATATTTGAGAATCTTCAAATAGCCACCTTTGCCTTGATGACAGCTTTGCACACTCTTGGCATTCTCTTAACCAGCTTCATGAAGTAGTCACCTGGAATGCATTTCAATTAACAGATGTGCCTTGTTAGACAGAAGATAGCCCTATTTGGTAAAAGACCAAGTCCATATTATGGCAAAAGCTGGCTGTCATGGGGACCGCAACAGGAAAGGAAGACCCAGAGTTACCTCTGCTGCAGAGGATAAGTTCATTAGAGTTACCAGCCTCAGCCCAAATAAATGCTTCACAGAGTTCAAGTAACAGACACATCTCAACATCAACTGTTCAGAGGAGACTGTGTGAATCAGGCCGTCATGGTCGAATTGCTGCAAAGGAACAACTACTAAAGGACACCAATAAGAAGAAGAGACTTGCTGGGCCAAGAAACACGAGCAATGGACATTAGACCGGTGGAAATCTGTCCTTTGGTCTGGAGTCCTAATTGGAGATTTTTGGTTCCAACTGCCGTGTCTTTGAGAGACGCGTGTGGGTGAACGGATGATCTCTGCATGTGTATTTCCCACCGTAAAGCATGGAGGAGGAGGTGTTATGGTGTGGGTGTGCTTTGCTGGTGACACTGTCTGTGATTTATTTAGAATTCAAGGCACACTTAACCAGCATGGCTATCACAGCATTCTGCAGTGATACGGCATCCCATCTGGTTTGGGTTTAGTGGGACTATCATTTGTTTTTCAACAGGACAATGACCCAACACACCTCCAGGCTGTGTAAGGGCTATTTGACCAAGAAGGAGAGTGATGGAGTGCTGCATCAGATGACCTGGCCTCCACAATCCCCCAACCTCAACCAAATTGAGACGGTTTGGGATGAGTCGGACTGGAGAGTGAAGGAAAAACAGCCAACAAGTGCTCAGCATATGTGGGAACTCCTTCAAGACTGTTGGAAAAGCATTCCAGGTGAAGCTGGAATGCCAAGAGTGTGCAAAGCTGTCATCAAGGCAAAGGGTGGCTATTTGAAGAATCTCAAATATATTCTGATTTGTTTAACACTTTTTTGGTTACTACATGACTCCATATGTGTTATTTCATAGTTTCGATGTCTTCACTATTATTCTACAATGTAGAAAATAGTAAAAATAAAGAAAAACCCTTGAATGAGTAGGTGTGTCCAAACTTTTGACTGGTACTGTATATAAAAACAAACAAAACAAAAAAAACGTATAATCTTTGTAAATTATATAAATAGGACTGGTGGAGTTACGTCATACATGTAGCTAACAAAAATATATGGAAATGTCTGCTCTATCCAAAATTACAACCAACTAATTGCAGCATTACCGCAAAAATGGAAGAGGCAAGCAAGTGGAAGGGGGAGAAAGTAAGGAACTTGTCTGTTGGCCCTGCAAAGAAAATTGTGATAAGTAAAAAAGTATACCAGTTTAATTTAAGGACCACAAAATTGACAGCTGTGCCCTACAGATTGCAAAATAATTGGGAAGAGATTTTTTATGTACCGATTCCATGGCACACAAAACTGATGCCGGATACAAAACGTATACTTTTTCTATTAAAAATTATTATACAAAATTCTTGCAACCAATGGAATGTTGGATATAACCATACCAGCTCTGAAGATTTTGCTGCGAAGAGACAGAATCATTAGATATAATGGCGCCGGAGAAGATGGCTGCCGTTTTACAGCCCTCTAACCAATTGTATTATTATGTGTGTTTTTTCGCGTTATTTGTAATTTTTTCTGTATATAATGTTTCTGCCACCGTCTCTTATGACCAAAAAGAGCTTCTGGATATCAGGACCTCGTATTGGACGAAGATTTTTTCTTCAACGAGTCGGACGCGAAGGATATCCTACAGACACCCGACAAGGCCCAAATCCCCGTCATTCGCATGAGAAAGAGACAGAGATATCGTGGACATAGGTCAGGGTGCCTTGTAAGGATCCGACGGCGAGCGAGTAAACTGCCTCTTCCATCAATCCTATTAGCCAATGTTCAATCACTTGAAAACAAATTGGACAACCTACGATTACGATTATCCTACCAACGGGACATTAAAAACTGTAATATCTTATGTTTCACCGAGTCGTGGCTAAACGACGACATGGACAACATACAGCTGACGGGATATACGCTACATCGGCAGGATAGAAAGGCTGACTCCGGTAAGACAAGGGGTGGCGGTCTGTGTATATTTGTAAACAACAGCTGGTGCACAAAATCCAATACTAAGGAAGTCTCGAGGTATTGCTCGCCTGAGGTAGAGTATCTCATGATAAGCTGTAGACCACACTATTTACCAAGAGACTTTTCATCTATATTTTTCATAGCTGTCTATCTACCACCACAAACCGATGCTGGCATTAAGATTGCACTCAATTAGCTGTATAAGGCCATAAGTAAACAGGAAAACGCTCATCCAGAGGCAGCACTCCTAGTGGCCGGGGACTTTAATGCAGGGAAACTTAAATCCTTTCTACCTAATTTCTACCAGCATGTTAAATGTGCAACCTGAGGGAAAAAAAACCTCTAGACCACATTTACTCCACACACAGAAACGCATTCAAAGCTCTCCCTCGCCCTCCATTTGGCAAATCTGACCATAACTCTATCCTCCTGATTAGTGCTTATAAGCAAAAACTAAGCAGGAAGCACCAGTGACTCGGTTAATAAAAAAGTGGTCAGATGAAGCAAATGCTAAGCTACAGGACTGTTTTGCTAGCACAGACTGGAATATGTTCCGGGATTCTTCAGATAGCATTGAGGAGTACACCACATCAGTCACTGGCTTCATCAATAAGTGCATCGATGATGTCGTCCCCACAGTGACCGTACATACATACCCCAACCAGAAGCCATGGATTACAGGCAACATCCTCACTGAGCTAAAGGGTAGAGCTGCCGCTTTCAAGGAGTGGGACTCTAACCCGGACGCTTATAAGAAATCCCGCTATGCCCTCCGACGAACCATCAAACAGGCAAAGAGTCAATACCGGACTAACATTGAATCGTACTACACCGGCTCTGACACTCTTCGGATGTGGCAGGGCTCGAAAACTATTACAGACTACAAAGGGAAGCACAGCCACGAGCTGCCCAGTGACACAAGCCTACCAGATGAGCTAAATCACTTCTATGCTCGCTTCGAGGCAAGCAACACTGAAGCATGCATGAGAGCACCAGCTGTTCCGGATGACTATGTGATCACGCTCTCCGTAGCCAATGTCAGTAAGACTTTTAAGCAGGTCAACATTCACAAGGCCGCAGGGCCAGATGGATTACCAGGACGTGTACTCCGAGCATGTGCTGACCAACTGGCAAGTGTCTTCACTGACATTTTCAACATGTCCCTGACTGAGTCTGTAATACCAACATGTTTCAAGCAGACCACCATAGTCCCTGTGCCCAAGGACACTAAGATAACCTGCCTAAATGACTACCGACCCGTAGCACTCACGTCTGTAGCGATGAAGTGCTTTGAAAGGCTGGTCATGGCTCACATCAACACCACTATCCCAGAAACCCTAGACCCACTCCAATTTGCATACCGCCCCAACAGATCCACAGATGATGCAATCTCTATTGCACTCCACACTGCCCTTTCCCACCTGGACAAGAGGAACACCTACGTGAGAATGCTATTCATTGACTACAGCTCAGCGTTCAACACCATAGTGCCCTCAAAGCTCATCAATAAGCTAAGGATCCTGGGACTAAACACCTCCCACTGCAACTGGATCCTGGACTTCCTGACGGGCCGCCCCCAGGTGGTAAGGGTAGGTAACAACACATCTGCCACGCTGATCCTCAACACGGGGCCCCTCAGGGGTGCGTGCTCAGTCCCCTCCTGTACTCCTTGTTCACCCATGACTGCATGGCCAGGCATGACTCCAACACCATCATTAAGTTTGCTGACGACACAACAGTGGTAGGCCTGATCACCAACAACGATGAGACAGCCTATAGGGAGGAGGTCAGAGACCTGTCCGTGTGGTGCCAGGATAACAACCTCTACCTCAACGTGATCAAGACAAAGGAGATGATTGTGGACTACAGGAAAAAAAAGAGGACTGAGCACACCCCCATTCTCATCAACAGGGCTGTAGTGGAACAGGTTGAGAACTTCAAGTTCCTTGGTGTCCACATCACCAACGAACTATCATGGTCCAAACACACCAAGACAGTCGTGATGAGGGCACGACAAAGCCTATTCCCCCTCAGGAGACTGAAAAGATTTGGCATGGGTCCTCAGATCCTCAAAAAGTTATACAGCTGCACCATCGAGAGCATCCTGACTGGTTGCATCACCGCCTTGTATGGCAACTACTCGGCCTCCGATCGCAAGGCACTATAGAGGGTAGTGCGTACGGCCCAGTACATCACTGGGGCCAAGCTTCCTTCCATCCAGGACCTCTATACCAGGCGGTGTCAGAGGAAGGCCCTCAAAATTGTCAAATACTCCAGCCACCCTAGTCATAGACTGTTCCCTCTGCTACTGCACGGCATGCAGTACCAGAGGGTCTAGGTCCAAAAGGCTTCTCAACAGCTTCTACCCCCAAGCCATAAGACTCCTGAACAGCTAATCATGGCTACCCAAACTATTTGCACTGCCCCCCCCACCCCCACCCCATCCCCTTCTTTTACACCGCTGCCACTCTGTTAATTATTTATGCATAGTCACTTTAACTCTACCCACATGTACATATTACCTCAATTACTTCGACTAGCCGGTGCCCCCGCACATTGACTCTGCACCGGTACCCCCCTGTATATAGCCTTCCTACTGTTATTTTACTGCTGCTCTTTAGTTATTTGCTTTTATTCTTTTAAAAAATAAAAAAAATAAAAAATGCATTGTTGGTTAAGGGCTTGTAAGTAAGCATTTCACTGTAATGTCTACACCTGTTGTATTCGGCGCATGTGGCAAATAAAATGTGATTTAATTTGATCTGATCATTTGTTTTGGTACTGTCCATATGTAGCTTGTTTTTGGTCGCCGGTTCAGGAACGGCTGAAGAATTGCAACATTTACATGGAGCTAACTCTGCAAATAGCACTGCTGGGTGATTTGAAAAGTCATAGTCAAATCAATCAATAATATAATAATACTCTTAGCAAAAATGTTTATCTTTAATTTACAATCATTAGAAACTATGAGAATTGAAAGGTTCAGAACTTTTGTTAAACATGGTAAATTAAATTGATTGGACATGATTTTGAAAGGCACACGTGTCTATATAAGGTCCCACAGTTGACAGTACATGTCAGAGCAAAAACCAAGCCATGAGGTCAAAGGAATTGTCCGTAGAGCTCAGAGATAGGATTGTGTCGAGGCGCAGTTCTGGGGAAGGGTATCAAAACATTTCTGCAGCATTGACGGTCCCCAAGAACACAGTGACCTCCATCATTCTTAAATGGAAGAAGTTTGGAACCACCAAGACTCTTCCTAATCAATTTTAGAATAAGGCTAATGTAACAAAATGTGGAAAAAGTCAAGGGGTCTGTATACTTTCCGAATGTACTGTATATATAAACAAAAAAATATATATGGGAGATTTGAAATGATGCAGACAATTACATTGATAGAAGCCACAATCTATCTGCAATACTAAAACTGATGTACCCCTAAAGAATTTAGTTGGAATGCGCCATGGAGTGTAAAGGGAAGGGTGAAACATGAGGTAAAAAAAAAAGGAGGTGAAGGGGTAGAGGGAGGACAACCCCGGCCAACCCACAGTACCTGTTGCAGACAGAGCACCAACGTGCGAGCACTCTCTATCTTATCCATTTGCCGCGTTCTGCTCAGAGTCTCCTTAATTATGTCACCAAAGTTGTTATAATACTGTAGAGAGAGAGAGAGAGAGAGAGCGAGAGAGAGAGAAAAAAAAATCAGTGGAGAGGAGACAGAAGACAGTCATATCAGAGCCTTTCATGTGGCGTCTGGCCTCTGTGTCCCCCATCACTACAGATACAGATTGCTGTATCACTGTGTGTGTGCGTGAGTGAGTGTGTTCTTTATGCTGCTTGTCCCGCTAGGAGAGAATGTTGATGAGAATGTTGATGACCTTACATTAAATGCTGATGTGCCACACAAAACATACAACTGAATATTCATGCCTGTGTGTGAATTGTGTGAATTCTGATATACTATTCTAATTTACTGCTCTTATAGTGGTGAGGATGAGGAAGGGCCCTATCCAATACAACCCTAAATCTAGGTTTCCGGTGCGGTATAAATGTTCTACCTTGACATTTTGTCCTACCCAAGTAGAAAACATACAGTACCTTCAGAAAGTATTCACTCCCCTTGACTTTTTCCACATTTTGTTGTGTTACAGCCTGAATTTAAAATGGATTCCATTTAGATGTTTTGGTCACTGGCCTACACACTGGCCATGATGTCAAAGTGGAATCATGTTTTATTTTTACAAATTAATTAAATAATGAAAAGCTGAAATGTCTTGAGTCAATAAGTATTCAACCCCTTTGTTATGGCAAGCCTAAACAAGTTCAGGAGTAAAAACGTGCTTAACAAGTCACATGAATTACATGGACTCACTCTGTGTGCAATAATAGTGTTTAACACGATTTTTGAATGACTACGTCATCTCTGTACCCCACACATACAATTATCTGTAAGGTCCCTCAATTTCAGACATATACAACCAAAAAGACCAGAGCACCTATAGTCCCAATGTCTGCTTTTTGGAATAAGTAAAGGGCTCTAAATATTTTCAGAATGCACTGTATATATCCATTGAAATCTGTATATTGTATGCACAAATTACTTTCTTGTGATAGTAGCATTACCTTCATGTAATACTTGAAGAGCTCAGCAGCCATACTCATCTCCAGCACTCCGTGTACTATGAGTTTACAGTAGCCTGCCAATAAGCTCCTACGTCTGTGGAGCTCCTCCAACCTCCCCTCACCAGACTCTACATCACTACCTGAGAGAGAGAGAGAGAGAGAGAGGGGAGAGAGAGAGAGGAGAGAGAAGAGAGAGAGAGAGAGAGAGAGGAGAGAGAGAGAGAGAGAGAGAGAGAGAGAAGAGAGGAGAGGAGAGAGAGAGAGAGAGAGAGAGGAGAGAGAGAGAGAAATGAGTAAGGGGAAGAGGGGGAGAAAAGGAGGAAAGAGAGAGGAAAAGCAAAAAAAAATAACAAAGAGAGAAAAGAAAGAAAGAGGGGGAAATGAGAGACAGACAAGAGAGGGAAAGAGTGGTTTAGTTAGTTTCAGGTCAATGGGTTTAACAGGTGGAAATAAGTGACAACATGCAACTATAGTTATGACACCATGTGGGTTCAATCTTTCACAGAGACAATAAAACATTCACAGAAGGGAACCAAAGTTAATGCTATTTTCTAACGGAAAGATATTGCCCTTATTTCGTAACTTAACTTAATGCCTTTGCCCTGAGACTGATCTCCAATCCACCACCTAATAGAAAACAGTGTCTATACTATAATGGCCATGAGGTAAATCAAATAACACAATAGAAGTGTATTACTATATGTTCCAAACCAATAGTCCCATATTGCATTTGTTTGAACAGATGAGAAATTCCTTCCTGTGCGGTTATTGACTTATCTGGACGAACCGTGAGGACGCAATATGTTTCACATGAGAAAAGCTGTCGTCAAGTACCATTGATTATTAATGCCTCCTCTTGACCATCAATACACAATACAACATACAGTAAATGGCCCACACAAAATACATTGTTTAATATAGCCATGTTTTTTTATATAACTTTTCCCACTGTGGAAGCCGTAAAAATGTATCCAAACGCCATACAAAGCATCCATAGACACGTCACCTAACAAATACTTATGATCTCATGGACTAATAACAAACTGTATAATGAGTCTGTGTAGCACTGGGTGTGTATTATTGGCTTTCCTACGGGATTTGAAGTCTACTGTTAGGTCAGGTTTGAGGAGGAGAATATGAAGCGATGTATAGCCTAGGAGCACCTCTGTGTAGATCCATTAGCTACGACTGCGGCTGTGAATTTAATATCTGCATGATTAACTTGTAACAGGAACAGGGAGTGAACTGTAAACCTGAGACATACTGTACATCCTACAGTCTGACAAAGAGAAACCCTGCCATCTGCTGGGGAAAGGTACAAGTGTGTAAGTCGCACAGGACGAAACACAGCGGTGACAGAGGTGCTATTTTCTCTAGCCTCATCTAGTCTCATGGATATGTTTTTGATCATCATTGCACTCTACCCTGACTTAATACATTCCTGCAAACTTTTGACAAACTCGTATTGATTTCCAGTCGAGTTTGGGGACCTGGGGGAGAAGGGGTGAGCGAGTCAGGTAGAGGTATGGTAAGAGGGGGGTGCAGTAAGCTCCCTCTCGCTCTCTCTCTAATAGAGTATCTACAGTAATCAGAAGTAGAGTTGTCAGTGGTCTCACTCCTGCTGTGGCTGTCGTATTCTGCTCCAGTGAAGACGTGCTCCAGAATGAAGGCGAGCAGCGCCCTCTGAAGTTTCGGGTCGGGAGTGTAGAGCAGGGGTCCGTAAGACGAGGGATCCCACACCTGCAACTGGTAGTTGTGGGCCGTCAGGACATCACACAGAGACAGGAATGCCTGGGGGGGGGAACAGACCATCAGAGAGACAGGAGCAAGACAACTTATTAGTTCGTTTACCAGTGAAGAGAGATGTAGCCAACATTCAGAGAACTAAAGAAACATTTGTTTTTAACTGACTTGTCTGGTTGAATAAAGGTTAGATCAATCGTGGTGTGGTTGTCGGATCTGTTTCTGCTTTAGCTAACTCTTTAGTGGTTGTCATGACAAATACTAGCTCAGGCTAGTTGTACCCTTCACAGAGAGAGCAGATGAACCACCCAGTGTCAGTGAGGTTATCATACACAGAGATAGATAGGAAGGCCTGAGGGGTTGAGGACACAATCAATGACTTACAATCAATCACATGACCAGTGATGTAGAATCAATAGTATGTCCAATGGTGTAAGCAGCACATTGTCACACATGCTGGAGCCACCGAAAGGCAGAAACAGAGGAAATAATCATCTAAATAATATTTAAAATAATGTTTGTTCTTTAAAGCGCTAATAAAGCACATTTTGAGTATAGTACAGTTTCTCTCATGGAAAGAGATTGCTGATAGTTTATCAGTTTCACTAATTATCAGAATGAGGTACGGGGGTGTAAATGATAACAGTCACTAGGATAGTAGGATAACAAAGTTCATAGTTCACTAGTCAATATTGATGCACAACATACGGGTCCATTTAGACAAAATAACATGGAGGCTAGCAGTCCTGTGTTAAGACCCGTTTCATTGAGCCTGCCTGCTGTGCCAGATGGGAAGGATTTACACTCTTGGGACTATTCCATTGATTCCAATGCACCAGACAAGATCAACCCAGTGCAGCTAAAGTATTTAAAGGTTCAGACTAATAGTGCTGCTGTGTGTCCTACCTGCTCCTTCACACTCTGATCGTTGTGGGACAGGCAACGTAGACACTTCTCACACAATGCTCTCATCTGACTCCTCTGGGCTACAGCCTTTTCCTGCACACACACACACACGCACACACACTGTCTGTCATAGCATTCAATACTTCAGTACAACCGTACAGGCAACTAGCTAACTGTAAATAAAGGGGACTAGCTAACTGTAGAAAAGGGACTAGCTAACTGTAGGAGGTAATATCAGGTGGTCACCCGTGAGGTCAGGGTTTCTCTGCTGGTGTTGAGGTTCCAGAGGACAGAGTAACATACACACTGCAGGGCCTCCACTGTCAGCTGAGAGGGGAGAGAGAGGGAGGTCAGAGGTGGTGAGGAATGGTGTTCTCAACTAGAGTGAGTCCTGATTGGTGTTTAATACTTCAACTGTACTGTAAAGGTCAAAGGTTATGTGATGTTCCATATAGGAAGAGCTCAGGTGTTAGTAAGGCAAGTCGTGACTGGTGTGATGTTATTTGACAGAGGGTGATCATAGCTCAGGGCAGGGTATACTATACTCTACCTGTGTAGGTAATCCACCATGCATGATCTCTACTGAGAGAAGAGGAGAGACCTGCTCAAACAGTCCCCAACGAGACAGGTCCTGGGCACTACAAGAGAGAAGAGTAGGTGACACACACACACACACACACACACACACACAAACACACCACACAGACAAACAAACACACACATTTTACACATTATCTTACTTGTGGAATGCAGTGAGTTTCTTCAGCGTGGATAGAATCTCTCCTGTTTTTTCCTCATCAGCAGTGAAGTTGCCATCCTGAGAAGAAAGAGGGAAAGAGAGAAAGAGGGGGAAGAGAAACATGGCAACTCAATCGCCACTCTGCATTCAAAAAACAGCCTGAAGAAACCACATATTTTTATGTATGTGTTACACATGGCATCTCCGTGCCTACCTGCAGTGCGTCTCCCAGCAGTGTTGCCAGTCTGTCTGCCCAGCATTGGACCACTGTGTCCCTGACTGGTCGTGCCAGGGGGTGCCAGGCTGTTTCCTCCCCACACAGGCTGAGGTATGAGCGGGCAGCCGCCTCCAGCACCGCAGGGTCAGTGTGGCGCTCCACAACAGCTCCCATCTCAGCCAGCAGGCACGACAACGCCTGGGAGGAAGGGGGAGAGAAATACTCTTTAAAACAGGGTTGTTCGGACATTTAGTTTAGTTTTGGGTGTATATGTAAAACAACACACTGGCATTGGTGATCTCAAACAAATGGTTGGGTCAATAGACCTTCATGGAGGTTTAACTTTAACCCCTGATCAAGGTCTATTGACAAAATATGTTTTGGATCCATTGAAAGTACTGTGAAGCATACAAGAATGCATAATGCTGGAGATTTTTTCCTTCTCAAATCTGTTTTAATAGTCTCACCAGCAGAAGGTGCTAAGAGGGTAGATAAGCAATCTGTAAACAACAGGATTGCAATGTAATTGCTGAGAAGTACACTAATATAAAATAATAAATAAGTTCCAGTCTTATTGTCATGTATTTCTTTACTTATTAATCTCTATGGTATTTGTTTAACATTTTCATGTTAGTCAATTACCAGACACTTTTTATCCAGACCAACTTACAACAAGTACATTCATCTAAAGTAGGTAAGACAATCACATATCACAATCAACTGACAACAATTAAACTTTTACAAGAACAATGTAGGCTGACCTGTGGGGTTTCTGCATTAGGTGAGTCTGGGTGAAAGTACTGAGGTATCTTCAAAAGGGATGCCACAGTTTCAGGGCTCCCTGAATACTAGGAATATAATTATCACAATCATCATTATCATATAACAATTATCTCAACCATCATCGTTTTCATTTTTTTTTTTATTCTGCACACCAGTTAGTCCATTGTAGCAAAAGCCATGTTAGTTGTGAGATTGTTAGATGGAGTATAACCGGTCACCTGCTGTATTGTAATGCCCTCTAGTGGCAGTAGCCTTAACAGATATTAACTAGTAGGAGGATAGAAAGTGTAATATCAATACAATCATTATCGTCATTATCCTAACCATCATCAGCATCATTATCAGAACCATTATCATCATCACTACCATCGTCATCTTTTCTGTCATCACCAGCCCTCCTGCACTGGTGTAATATGTCCCCATGAAAGAGTGTGTTTTACTAACGTAATGTGTGTGTGTGTGTGTGTGTGTGTGTGTGTTCTTACCTTAATCAGTAACTGTGGCAGTACCTTGAGGAAGTATTCAGTGAGCCTGCCACAGTCATCTACCTGAGCCTTTTTTTCTCTGGCACTTACCACCTGTCAAAAACATTGTTACATTAACAAAAAGATTTGAAATATATTTGCCATTGTAATCAGTACAATAAAAAATGTTATTCAAATGAATATCATGTAAGCCTTGAATTTTAAGTGATACTCATTCATGAATATCATTCCAGAAAGGATTTGTAAGACAGCAATAAAACACAAGGAGTTATGTTATGTAAATGTATTTCTGTTCAATGACAAATGCCCAAATATATATTTTTAAGGCCAAAAACAACATCACAATCAACAACTGGAGTTCAATCACAGATGCAACTAAAAGCAGGGGTTTCATCCAGCCTTTACCTATCCAATCATGTGAAGGATGCATTTTCAAACAGGGCAGTTCTAGGCTGCGGTCCGATTCCCTAGCTAATTTTCCCCCAACTTCGGACACTCTCTAGCGGTTGGAGGACTAAATCACCTCGAGCTCAACATTTAAATGGACTGGAAAATAACGGTAAGTTTTGCGACTAACGACACCCTTCTAGCTGACCACCGATTTTCAGTGCAATTTATGTAAGTTAAGTTAGGTTTTGAGAGTTTTCAAAAAAGTTATATATGTACACATTTTGTGGAACACGCTGTATATTGTAAAATCCGACTGCGCGACAGACCACACACGTGGTCCTCTGTAGCTCAGCTGGTAGAGCACGGCGCTTGTAACACCAAGGTAGTGGGTTCGATCCCCGGGGCCACCCATACACACACAAAAAATGTATGCACGCATGACTGTAAGTCGCTTTGGATAAAAGCGTCTGCTAAATGGCATATTATTATATTATTATCATTTAACATCCAACTTATTACCTCTCAAATATAGCTAAAGGATTTTCTAATGTTGCTAGCTTAGTTGCTAAATGTTGATAGAACTGCTAAGTAAGCAAAAAGGAAAGAAATTGTAAGCGTTAGATAATACATATCACGAAAACAGCTGAATATTGTCAAGCTTTACCGTATCAAAATTGGAGTCCTCTGACGGAGGCGTTTTGCACAATCTGCAAAAATGTATTTGGAACTTTGAACCATGAACTTTTTGACACCTATCACTGTTGGCTATATTTCATCTTACAACAGCTACATAGAGCCATTATTTAGTCAAATGTTACAATGTATGCATCAATATTAAACTAATTGGGACACTAATTTTCATTACAGATAACATCAAACAAAAAAGGTGGGTACACTTTCAGTTATTGTGAAAACGTTCATCAACTTTCAAAGCCTTAGCTTTGAAATGTAAATGTTTATACATATTCAGATTGAGTCATCTTTCTAAAATGTGTATAGTATGCAAAGTTATTTAGCTACATGTATTAACACCACAGCATGGAGAAAGTCAAGAGGAAGCAGTGGAGTGAGGTGGACATGTTCCATGCCATGGAGGACTGCGGGGCAGGGATGGCTATCCGCCAGGCTGCCAAGGTTAGGCATCTTTTGTTTTTAGGAGATTACCATGTGTATGTGAATTTTATCTGCTAGTAACAGTTTTATTTTCTTATCTACCAAGGTGCATGGTGTACCTCGGCAGACCATGGCGGACAGGCTGTGCGGCCGGGTGACCCATGGTTGTCGCAGTGGACCACCCACATTGCTTGCACCAGAGGATGAAAATGCTCTGCTGCAGTACTGTATATACTGCGCCAGCCATGGGTTCCCATACCAGGCGGTGATGCAACCAGTCAGGATGCTCTCGATGGTGCAACTGTATAACTTTTTTAGGATCTGAGGACCCATGCCAAATCTTTTCAGTCTCCTGAGGGGGAATAGGCTTTGTCGTGCCCTCTTCACGACTGTCTTGGTGTGTTTGGACCATGATAGTTTGTTGGTGATGTGGACACCAAGGAACTTGAAGCTCTCAACCTGTTCCACTACAGCCCTGTCGATGAGAATGGGGGCATGCTCAGTCCTCATTTTTTTCCTGTAGTCCACAATCATCTCCTTTGTCTTGATCACGTTGAGGGAGAGGTTGTTATCCTGGCATCACATGGCCAGGTCTCTGACCTCCTCCCTATAGGCTGTCTCATCGTTGTCTGTGATCAGGCCTACCACTGTTGTGTCGTCGGCAAACTTAATGATGGTGTTGGAGTCGTGCCTGGCCATGCAGTCATGGGTGAACAGGGAGTACAGGAGGGGACTGAGCACGCACCCCTGAGGGGCCCCCGTGTTGAGGATCAGCTTGGCAGATGTGTTGTTACCTACCCTTACCACCTGGGGGCGGCCCGTCAGGAAGTCCAGGATCCAGTTGCAGAGGGAGGTGTTTAGTCCCAGGATCCTTAGCTTAGTGATGAGCTTTGAGGGCACTATGGTGTTGAACGCTGAGCTGTAGTCAATGAATAGCATTCTCACATAGGTGTTCCTCTTGTCCAGGTGGGAAAGGGCAGTGTGGAGTGCAATAGAGATTGCATCATCTGTGGATCTGTTGGGGCGGTATGCAAATTGGAGTGGGTCTAGGGTTTCTGGGATAATGGTGTTGATGTGAGCCATGACCAGCCTTTCAAAGCACTTCATGGCTACAGACGTGAGTGCTACGGGTCGGTAGTCTTTTAGGCAGGTTAGCTTAGTGTCCTTGGGCACGGGGACTATGGTGGTCTGCTTGAAACATGTTGGTATTACAGACTCAGTCAGGGACATGTTGAAAATGGACCCGGAGGTGCTCGCGGCGGCACTAAGGGAAGGGGTTATACTTCTTTGTCTTCCACCACACTGCACCCATGTCCTGCAGCCGCTGGACGTGGCATACTTTGGCCCTTTAAAGGCTGAGTTTTCCAAGGTAGCTGGAGATATTAGCCATTTTGACCACTCCTACATGGTAAACAAATCAGAGTTTGCCAGAGTATTCCGCTACCCGTACCAATGATGCAAGGACATGCGCTATGTGGTGGAAGGGTTTAAGAATCCCTGTGGTCGCCACATGCCTCACCGGGAAGGAATACACGCGGCAGTGGCAGGAGAGGGGTGAGAAGGAGAGGGCCGAGGCAGAGGAGAAAGAGCGTCGGGCAGCCCTCAGAACACAGAGGGCACAGGAGAGGGCTGCCATGGATGAGACCATTGACGCCATCGCATCTGCTGGACCACCTGCTGGAACCACTCCTGACAGCTGCTTCACCAATACCAGTGCCTCCCAGTGTGCAACACCTGTAGGAGCCGCCGGAGTCCCCAGCTGCAGAAGAAGGCCACGTGCCTACTCTCCCAGCCACACCATCGTCGGCCCCTCAACCCCACCATTACAAACAGCAATGTAAAAAAAAAGAAGTAATCTCCACCTTCTGCAGCTTCCTCCAGAGGTATTGATGTAAAAAAGTTGAAAAGGGTTTTCATGTAACATGCTCTGTCGAACACCACTTTTTCTCAAACTGCAGCACAGAAAAGGAAGAGAAAAGCTCCACCGGTCACGCCATCCATGGCAACACTCTCAGGTACTTTATAATCTGTTTTTCTCTCTCTTAGTTGTATCAATTACTATTGTTGTTGAAGAACTTCTACATTTTGCAAAACCATATTAATTAATTTGTATTATTATTTTATTTTTTATAAAAGAAGACACCACCTGCTGTGCTCGCTGCGGGGAGCATGATCCGCCTGCAAGCTCCCCTCAGGAGTGTAGATCTGAGGTGCCATGGGTGTGCTGTAACTTCTGCCAGCACTGGGTCCACTGCAGGTGTGTGCAGTGGGATCCAGAGGTAGCGGTGGAGCTGGATTTTTATTGTGATTTTTGTGACAATATAGGGATGGAGGTCGAGATTTAATTGTTTGTTTTGTTTGTGTTCATATGAAATTATTTATTTGTACAAAAACATAAATGTCTAAAATATAATATATATATATATATATATATATATATATATATATATATATATATATATATATATATATATATATATATTTATTCAACCCATCTTGTGTATTTCTTCCTTTACTTTTCAAGTGCATCTCTGCAACACAAACTCCAACAGTGTTTTCATTGTTTATGTCAATACACATAACTGAAATTAAAGTTTTATTTGATGTAAATTATTAATACTCATATTTTAGTATTCAACTGTTATCTACTTTCTCAAAACATAATATTAATCTGTAAAACAAATGATGAGACATTATTTGGTTACAACACTGAATATGTTGGTGAAGAACCATTTCTTAAGAGTCCACAGGAGGGTGCACCGGGCTACGCAATGGAAAGTTGACAGGCAAGTCATAATTCTTTACCGGAAGGCTAGCCAACTAGTCAACTATTTTACATTTTAGTCATTTAGCAGACGCTCTTATCCAGAGCGACTTACAGTTAGTGAGTGCATACATTTTTCATACTGGCCCCCCGTGGGAATCGAACCCACAACCCTGGCGATGCAAGCGCCATGCTCTACCAACTGAGCTACAGGAGGCCAACTATCTAGTAAACACTTCGGATACGAGGTTGGTGTGTCTTTTTTCAACAAAATTAAACTGATATTTATTGTAATTGAACAAAATAGTAAGGTGGCCGATAACTGGGGACCGTATGCCGATAATACGGGACTTATTTTTTTTTGCTAAACCGCTTATCAAAAAGCTGATAATAGTAGTATTTACATTTACATTTAGATTTTAGTCATTTAGCAGATGCTCTTATCCAGAGCGACTTACAGTTATTTCCACTGAAATGTCAAACATGCTAATTGCTAACCCGTTAGCTAACATTTTTACGACACCAATAATTACAAAACCTTGATGGCTTGATCACAAGATAACACTGTTGAAGGTAATATATTTCTTAAACGCTGGGGTTCCACACTAACCTTCTCCCAAAAGAGTGCACTTGCTCAAAGCGTTAGGTTGGAGGTGTAATAAATATGGTAAAACACTTTTACCAATCCAATGTTTTTAAATCCTTTTGGGGGAGTAAACAAGTCCATACTTCAGGGAGAATGGGTGATTATGGTAATTGCGCTTAAGCCTCTTCAACACACTGACCTTCTTGCATGTGCTCCTTCCGGCCAGCAGGGGTCCCTCTACTGCCTGACGTAC